ACGGAACACCTATATGGGTGATTAGAGGCCTCCCTAAAAACCTCTATCCCTCTCGGAGAGCCCAGCAAGCTACTGAAAATATCCCGCCCACATGGCAGAGCCTGGCAAGCTACCTGTGGTGTATTTGATATGCGAAAAACAGTAAAAACAAAGGGCTTCATTCTCCTGACTCTGAAAGAGCCCTCAATATGGCAGTGTAAGAAGGATGGGCAAGGAGAGGCTGATAAAATCTCAGGGCCGAACTAGGCTGCCAAAACGAAGAAGAGCTAAAATGACTGACATTCAATGCACGTACGCTGACATCAGAAGAATCCATTGAGGACCTGATGGTGCAAGCGCAGAAGATCAAGTATGACATCATTGGTCTGACTGAGATGAGAAGGCATCAACCACCTCATACCACTTTTGACACTGGAAAAGAACTGTTACTTGGAACATGCGACAAGAAAGGTGTTCATGGTGTCGGTGTCCTTGTCAATATGAACTTGGCCATGAGCACTGATTCATTCAAATGCCTAACATCCCAAATCGGTCACTAATGCTTGAATAGATGTGGCTCATTGCCAGCAGTTTCTATCTTCGCTGTCTATGCACCAACATCCAACTACGATGAAGAAGAAATTGAGAAATTCTACATGGAGATGGAGAAGTTCTATAAAGAAGACCACACCTTCTACAAGATCATTGTCAGTGATTTTAATGCCAAGATAGGACCAAGAAGATTGCCCAAAGAACTCCACATTGGCACCCACATTGGCCTAGAATGGAACGAACAGGGTGAGAGACTGAGTTCATCATGTCGACCAAGACCATTGATGATAACTCAAAGTTGCAAAAGGCCGAATCTAAATGTTGGACATGGGAGTCTCCCTGTGGACAGTTCCACAATGAAACTGACCACATCATATTCAATCAACAGTTTTGCCTGACTGATGTCGCTGTTGTCCCAAAATTCCAAATGGGATCGGACCACCGTTTCCTTCATGGAAAATTCCACTTCATGGAGCGGGGAGAAAAGGCTGCAAAGTTTAAGAGAACTCTCAGAACGTCCACCAACTGGGAGCCCTTTGGCATTATTGCAGCAACATGGGAAGATGCTGTCATTGATGACATCGATGAGGAATACAATCAACTGGGTCAGCACCTCCATGACTGTGCAAGGAACACTGAGAAAGAGAAAGCCACAAAAAGACACCTGTCTTCAGAAACGCTCGAGCTCATTTGCCAACGTGGCTTGGCATGAGCCTCAGGCAACCACAAGCTAACGTCCGAGCTTTCAAAGCAGTGCAGAGAAGCGATCAAGGAAGGCCTCAAAGGGAGAAGAGCAGCAGTGCTGGCCAATGCAGCAGAAGCTGGGGAAAATATTTGCAATGCCCGCCTGTCCTTTGCCAACTACAAGACCAAGATGACTGCCCTCCAACGTCCTGATGGATCTATCACATATTCCAGAAGGGCAATGGAGAAGATTATCCATGACTTCTACTCGGATCTCTTTAATAGCCATGTCCACCTGGCTACATACCAAATTGTGCAGGATGGACATGTCGTTACAGTACCTGGTCCAGACAAGGTCAGACCTGAACACCTGAACAATCTGCTGTCAGTACTTGTCAATAAACTGGCTCGGCTCTTCACATGCTACCTGTCTGAATGTAAGGTTCCATCCCACTGGAAAACCAGCAGGACCATTCTACTGTACAAGAAGGGAGACATCTATGACATTGGCAACTATTGCCCAATCTGCCTATTCTCTGTTGTCTACAAGCTGTTCACTCGAGTCATCCTGAATAGGATTGGTAGAACACTAGATGAAGGACAACCATGCGAGCAAGCCTTTTGTGAGCAAGCAAAAGGATTCAGCACAATTGACCATATCCACACAGTGATCAAGCTCACTGAGTTTTCTCAGGAGTTCAAATTTTATTCATCTATACCCTATAATGAAGAAGGCGCAGTAAACTGTTTAACGCTCTGTCTAATGTTCATCAATTTAAAGAAGGCCTTTGATTCTGTTGAGACTGAAGCAGTCATCGAAGCCCTAGCCAAACAGGGCATTCAAACTCAGTACGTCAGGATTCTCTGTGAGCTGTATTATGGATTCACCATTAGGATCTCACGATTCTACAAGGAAGTGATCATCCATGTCAAGAGAGGGATTCGGCAGGGTGATACCATTTCACAGAAACTCTCTAGTGCCTCCCTCAAGAATGTCATGTGACGACTGGAATGGGAAGGAATGGGAGTGAAGATAGACGGTCGGCATCTACACCATTTCTGCTTCGTTGATGACATCGTTCTAATAACACCAAACATTAGCCAAGTGGAACAATGCTGGCCGACTTCGACTGTGAGTGTGGACAGGTCAGACTGCAGTTGAATCTCATGAAGACAATGTTTATGAAAAACGAACTAGTTCCTTGCTTATATATAAGAGAATAACCCCTTTTCAGAAATATGCAAGTACTTTTAGTTTTTCTCCCTAACCGCTCTGGGTATGACTTCCACTAACTACCTTCTTGGAGAAAGTAGAGCAAAGAAATCTCTTAGCCTTGTTCCTGCTCTCAGTGGGAGAGATTCAAGTTTCCTACTACTGTGATGCCAGATGTGGTTGTGTCACATATGGCTGTTGTGCTACTGAGTCGCATTTTTGCTTTGATGAGAGTTTGTTTTGATTTTCTCAGGCTTCTGAGCAGGGCTCAGGGAACCCACAGGTCACTCTTGTGATATGCAGCCTGGCTGTGCAGATCTGCAGGTTTCAGTATTTAGGCCCTGGAAGTTAGGTGCTGAGGGCCACTGGGACCACACCCAGTAGTGGGAGGAAGGAGTGCTAGGCAACTGGCGCAGCGGAGGTTGGTCGATGAAAGTCATGCACTGCAGCCTTTTGAGCTATCTCTTCAGTCACTCCTGAGAGGTTTTCCCTTTTTGTTTGTTTGTTTGTTTGTTTTAAATCATAAATGGGTACTGAACTGTCAAATGCTTCCTATCAGAGGATTATTTTTTCCCCTTCATTTTGTTATTTTGATGCATCAAATTGATTGATTTGAGGTGCTGAACCCTTTTAATAACTCGAAGAGAAATCTCACTTGATCATGGTATATGATTCTTTTGCTGCATAGCTGAATTTGGTTTGTTATATTTTAATGGAACATTTTTATATCCATGTTTGCCAGGAATGTTGGTCTGTAGTTTCTTATGGAGAAAGTCTCCATCTTGTTTTTGGTATAATTCCTGAGTTTAGAGATGTTGCCAGATCTTCTTCTTTTGGAAGGGTATAAGAAGGATCATTATTGACTAATTTATTTGGATTTTTTTAGACCACTCATATTTGTCTCTTTGTTTTCGATGTGTGTACAGGGGGGTAGGGTTCCAAACAGTGCTTTGGAGATCCAAGGGTCTTTCTGGCGATACTCAGCCAATCAGACTCGTGATTCAGTGCTAGAGTCTGAGCATGTGGTGCTGTTCGGGCCCTACAACGCTTGGTGCTGCCAGGACCAAACCTAGAGATACCTGGGGCGGGGGGGGGGGGTGGGGAGGGCTTGTGGCACCAGGGATAACCCAGGGAGGCTACACCCTATCTCTTATGCTATCCCCACCCCCAAATCACTTTTTGAAGGAAAGTAAATAAATTTCTGGTAAGTGCTACAAACAAAAATTTTATTCATCTATACCCTATAATGAAGAAGGCGCAGTAAACTGTTTTTGTTGGGCTCAATTAAGTTTTTATTATATTATATAGGCTATATAATAAAAAGAACCTATAAGTATACAAGAAAAGCAAGTATTATTATGGAATGATTCCTAGAAAAGTTATTTTTCTACTGGAAAATAACTTTTTCTAGTGGACTGGAGCGATAGCACAGTGGTAGGGCATTTGCCTTACACGCGGCCAACATGGCCGACCCGAGTTCGATTCCTCCACCCCTCTCGGAGAGCCCGGCAAGCTACCGAGAGTATTCGATATGCCAAACACAGTAACAACAAAGTCTCCAATGGAGACGTTACTGGGCCCGCTCGAGCAAATCGACGATCAATGGGAGGGCCTTTACCTTTACCTATTTTTCTACTAGTGAGTAAAAATAGTATGTTGAGAGGTGGGAATGAGGTAAGATTTCTCATTCTCATTGTGCTCTAAATGGTATGGATTTGTTATAGATATAAAATCAGTATAGATACTGATTCTATTATATACCAAGTTATATAAATAACACACACACACACACACACACACACACATATATACTGGAGGGAGGTGTTGGGGCACACCCAGTAGTGCTCAGAGCTTACTCCTGCTTCTGATCCCTGGGCTGTGTGTAGCACCAGGATCAAACCTGGATGGGTCACATGTAAGGTGAGCATCTTAATGTTGGTGTTATCTTGTAGGCTCTAAATTAAATATATTTTGATGACTTAGCAGATTTGATAAGGCTATATATGGTTGAAAATGTACCTAACAAATTAAAAGATGTAGAATTTTAAAATTTTGTCTTTAAAACATTTTTTAAAAATGCATTATTTTTATCTTTACTTATATTCTTCAAAGTACTTTTTTTTTAATAGGGTCCACACCCACAGTTGCTGGGGGTGGGGCAGAGGGTCATCTTAGTGGTGGCACTAAACCCTGGTGCTGGCTCAAATTTGGTGCTCATGGTCCTCCTGGGTGTCCCCCGGGAATGTTTGCAGGGTGTGTTGGTGGGTGTTTGTGGTGGTGGGGGGGCAAGGATTTCACACATGTTGGGCATGTACTTCATCACTTATGCCGTATCCTAAGCAACTTAAAGATTTAATTTTTATAATCCTCAAAATGAGAAGGATGAAATCTTTCACTAAATTTGATATAATGACATAATTAGCAGGCAGTGAATTATTATTATATCCATTTCTGGCTTATACGTTATGCACATCAGGGTTTGTTTAGGCTTTTGGAAAACTCATGATCTAAGCATGAAGAGTACAAAGGGATTAAGAGAACAGGGTAGAATAAAAGGTTTCTCAATCTCTACCTCCGTCTTCACAGTCTTCAGGGGCTTTGGCTTTCTTACAAAGGCGAGGATCCAGCCAGGTGGTTGTCTTGGTATTATGGCTGTAGAATAAAGATTTCAATTAGAAAGTGTACAATCAAGGAGAAAGGATTTCAAAAACAGAGGTCCAAAGGGGCTAATAGGCATATATAAATGATGTCTGGACTCTCAGCTCCTCCTCCTCTGTTTGTAGCCCTCTGCTTTAAAAAATACCCCATATTCTCTGTCTGTTACTTCAGAACCGCCAGAATGAAAAAGCAAAGATAGAGGCACTCATTTGTGAATGGAGACAAAAGGAGGGCTAAAGCACCCAAGACAGAACAACAGACATGGATTTAAACAGTCAAAACATTTCAAAAAGATACACAGCCCTGTTATGGGAATTAACTAGCCAAAACAACAACAACAACAACAACAAAATACAACCTGTGTGGAAACCCTTGTTTCATTCTATTTTTTTTTAATTGAATCACTGTGAGATATAGTTACAAAGTTTTCATGTTTGAGTTTCAGCTTGCCAGGCTCTCCAAGAGGGGTAGAGGAATCGAACCTGGGTCTGCCGCATGCAAGGCAAATGCCCTACCCACTGTGCTATAAATATGTAAACATATGAAATATATTTTACAAATAAACAGAAACTCACATGGGAAAATATGTTCTATACGCACTAAGCATTTCAGTCATGATAAAGTGCAGAAAATTATGGGGGAAATCAGGTAAAACAGAATCTAGGTATTATTATGCAGCTATTATTAGACAGGTAGAAAATTTCCAACCAATATGAAAGAACAAAATGTTACCAATATAGAATATAAACATGCGGACACAAAAGACTCCAGTGCAGCTGACAGCTAAGTTGAAGCGGACAGGCTCTTCTCTATGTGCAATATCAAGTGATCTTATGATTTTATAATTTTATGATTTTATAATAAAAAAAACTCGATAGAAGCATTTTTCTTAATTGTCTAGCTTATTTTCTAAAACTACACTGAATACTATATACACTGATACAAAGCTCAGATCTTAACACCTTGTCCTAATATTCTTTATTTTCAGTGGACTTCTGGTTAACTGGACCCAAAAGAAATGCAACTGAAAACCATAAATCCTTCCCCAGGAAAACCATCTCTGCAGCTCCAGCAACCACAGCTAAGGGGACTTCTATTAGCATCCATGGTGCAGTGTCAGGATGCTCTAAACAGCTCCACAGTCATCCAAACACAAATGGTATCTGTGCACGTTGCAAAACCTTACACACTCCCAATATAATTTGGTAGAAAATAGCATTTTGTAACTTCAACACCCCTACATGCTTAATACATTCTTTTTTTCTCTTTTTGGGTCACACACGGCAATGCACAGGGGTTATTCCTTGCTCTGCACTCAGGAATTACTCCTGGCGGCACTCAGGGGACCATATGGGATGCTGGGAATCGAACTCAGGTCAGCCGCGTGCAAGGCAAACGCCCTACCCGCTGTGCTATTGCTCCAGCCCCACATGCTTAATACATTCTTAATACATTCTTAATACATATATTAAGCAAAAAAAAAATAAAAGGTGGAACTGAAAAATTCTTCCTCATACCCCTTTTTATGAAGTAGGGCACAGAGGCTTTTTGATGATCAGTATTGTTTGATTTCATCACAGTTACCATCAGGCCAAGTTAGCATGTAGCAGGTACTGAGTCTCAAAACTATCACACAATCAAATAGGCAACGAATCTGAAATGTGAGACTATCAAGGAAAAAAGTTATGGAGAAAATGGATGTAGGAAGTACACGTAGGAATAGATAATGAAATGTTTTATCAAAGTAATGTGAGAATAACAATGTGAACACTTTGGTGTCTTTAAACTCATGAATCTCTACCTAGATTTCTCTTCAGCCCTGAAGCTAATGGCTTCATTTCTTCTAAACTTTTTTGAACTCTTGAGCTACTCATAGATAGAACTATTCAGTCCCTTCTTATATAGATAAACTGGAAGATTGTGCTAACACATTTTGGTATGCTGACACTGGCTAATCAAAGTGGGAGAAATCAGGATCATTTCTTAGAAGGTCTGTGTTATTCCTTTTATCACAGAGATAATTTCCCCAAACTAAAACTATTAAATCAGTTTTAGTAAAGTGAAAAGAACTAGGACTTTAAAAAGCCACAGAACCATGCAGTTGTTAGGAAAAAAATCATGGAACTATGTTGCTAAACTAAGTACAAAGTTAAATCTTGAAAAAAACTTAACTTTGGCTCCACTGACTCAAACTGCTACTGTTAAAATAGGTAATCTGCTAGGATTTTACTCATTATTTCCCAAGGTAAAGAAAGAAATATTATACCAAAGGCACAACAACTAAGACTACAGATGTCTCTGACCATTCTTGTCTTAAGAATGTGTGACTTCTGGTGGAGTGATGGGTACTCGATCATTGTATAACTGAAACCCAAGCACAAAAATTTGTAAGTCTACAACTTTACCTCATGGTGTTTCACTAATAAAAATTAAAAAATAAAAAAATAAAAAAAAAAGAATGAGTAAAGAGAGGCTGCTAAAATCTGAGGGCTAGGATGAATGGAGATGTTACTGGGCCCGTTCGAGCAAATTGATGATCAATGGGATGACAGTCACAGTGATACAGTGATATACCAAAGCTCACATCACCAAAACTTTAACATGTTAGTGATATCCTATAGAATGTCTTAATAGCTCTGCCAAAATAGAACTATCTTCACACTGTTTTCTATATGAACACTTTTTTGTAAGCATGTTCAGCAGTTCTTCATAACAGATAACACAAAATATATTATCTCATTTGTGTTTTGGGACAGGAATTGGGGCTTGGGATGGAAAAATTCCCATTGGTGGTGGGAAGGTGTAATGGTGGTGGGATTGATGTTTGAATATTAAATGTAATCAAATATTGTGAACTAAATTATAAAATAAAAATAAATTAAAAAAAAGAAAAAAAAGAATGTGTGAGTTAATAGTAGCAGTAACAGATCAAACACATTAGCTATAGGCAACACTAGATACTAGAACTTTAGTAGCAAATGATGTTTAATTATATTCAGGATATATTTAGATATAATTTGCAAATATTTTTAAAAATATTTTGCAGGCTGCTTTTTATTCTGTTATTTCCCCTTCCTATACAGTTTAAAGTTTTTTGTTTGTTTGTTTTGTTTTGTTTAATCCATACTCAGTGATGCTCAGGAGGGCTTTCTCTGGTTTATGCTCAACGAGAGCCCAGGATCACTCCTGGTGTTGCTCAGGGCATCATATGTGGTATCAAGGCCTGGGTCAGGCAATCTTTTAGGCCCACCGTTTATGTGTGTTTGTGGGTTTGGGGGCGGGGGGATAAAATCATGGGACATGACATGTAGTACCTGTCCCTATTGCTGAGCTACATCCTCACTCTTGCTCCTGTTTCTTTGAAAGTTTTGCACTTTCAGGTCTTACATTTATTAATTTTTTATTACTTTTTTTTTGTTTTTAGGCCATTCCCAGTGGTTCTCAGGGATCACTCCTAGCAGGGAGCAGAGATGCTGGGGATCAAACCCAGGTCGGCTATGTGCAAGGTTGTGTGCCTTACCCCTGTACTATCAGTTCGGCCCTTCATGTCTTTTGTTAAACTTGTAAGGTAAAAGGTAAAGGTAAAGGCCCTCCCGTTGATCGTCGATTTGCTCGAGCGGGCCCAGTAATGTCTCCATTGGAGACTTTGTTGTTACTGTGTCTGGCATATCGAATACTCTCGGTAGCTTGCCGGGCTCTCCGAGAGGGGTGGAGGAATCGAACTCGGGTCGGCCATGTTGGCCGCTTGTAAGCCACTTGTAAGCCATTTTAATAAAGGCTTTTAATAATGTTCAACAAGTAAAGTAAAGTAAAGTAAAGGTCCTCCCGTTGATCACCAATTTGCTCGAGCAGGCCCAGTAATGTCTCCATTGGAGACTTTGTTGTTACTGTGTTTGGCATATCGAATACATCACGGGGAGCTTGCCAGGCCCTGCTGTGCAGGCGAGATACTCTCAGTAGCTTGCCGGGCTCTCCGAGAGGGGCGGAGGAATCGAACTCGAGTCGGTCATGTTGGCTGCGTGCAAAGCAAACACCCTACCGCTGTGCTATCACTCCAGCCCCAATGTTCAACAACAAAACTTAAAAAAACTTCCTTCTCTATAGTTTACTAATTTATCCCTATTTATAGGATGATGTTCTATCATATTCAGTGTCTCATAATTTGCTTCTAAAGGCATTCTTCTGGTCATTTCTAGTAATTTGGGAACCTAGTTCTCATGTTACCATGAAAATCAAAATTCTAAAAAATCCATGAAAAATCTCTAAAGGGCTGTATAGACAGTACAGGTATTAAGACGTGACTCAGCACATGGTTAAACCTGGCCTGATTCCTAGCACCAGAGATGGTCCTCTGAGCAACAGCAGGAGTGAACTCTGAGTACAGAGAAGGAGTAATCCCTGAGCACAGAGCCGGAGTAAGCCCTGAGCACTATTGAATGTGGGTCCTCACCCCCACCCCACAAAAAGAAATGCTCTTTAAATTGTCCACAGAAGGTACCTGATTTTATCTTTTTGCCTAATCCTGGTCATTAATAAGTATATAAATGTGTAGCCTAATCAATAATCTACTGTGAATCTATGGTAAAAAGTATAGCTAATCTATGACAAAAAGTGTACTATGAACATAAAATTTTTGTTGTTTAAGCACTAGAATATTGCTTGAAACAGCAAAATGCTTACTTTATGGGAAGGAGTGAGTGTGACTTGGAGAATCAACTGAGAAAACAAATTCAAATTTTTCCATCCCTAATTCAATTAATTACTGAGGTAATGGGCCGGAGCAATAGCACAGTGGGTAGAGTGTTTGCCTTGCATGCGGCCAACCCGGATTTGATTTCTCCGTCCCTCTCAGAGAGCCTGGCAAGCTACCGAGAGTATTCCGCCCCTATTGCAAAGCCTGGAAAGCTCCCCATGGAATCTTCGATATGCCAAAAACAGTAACAACAACAACAACAACAACAACAACGTCTCACAATGAAAATGTTAATGGTGCCGACTTGAGTAAATCAATGAACAATGGGAGGACAGTGCTACAGTGCAGTGCTACTGAGGTAATGTTGGCTTACATTTAAGAAGCATATTTCTTCACATATGTTGCTTTAGCTCATATCTGAATTCGTTGAGTATAGTATGTAACGCTTAATATTTTAATTATAATTTCTTAAATTCTTTAACCTCATTATATTCATATCCTATCTCTCGAAGCATAAAATTACTTGGAGGATGAAATTACCTGATGAATGAAAACCACAGCTGCACGAGCATATAAAAATACTTCAGAATAAAACTTACAATTACTTGCATAATGTTATTCTCTGGTGCAAACAATATAAAATTCTAGGTTGACTGAACAATGTGGTATTCCATGTTGATAAATTTATTGTATCAGTATGACTATATAATAAATAAATATATTACTGTGGTACTAATTCCCCATGAAATACACTTGGATTTTGTGAATTTACAGTGTACCAATTATAAGGCCACTGATAATTTCCTCCTAAATTATACTGTCTAAATACACCAGATTTAAACACTAGCACCTAAAATATTTCATTCTGTTAACAAACATGTTCTTTTCCAAACAACTATAATCCCTAAGATGCTGTTTAAGTTGGATGATCCACCAAAAAGTGATTTAAAAAAGCAAAGTGAAATATCCTTTATTCTTTACATTTCTTCATCATTAGTGATAGACCTGTTTTTAAATCTTCCTGTTTTTCTAAGACTAGAGTTTTAATAATATATCATTCAGGGACATAATCAGATTAAGAATCAACTGGTGTCAGAGCGATAGTAGAATGGCTAGGGAGTTTGTCTTGCATGTGGTCAATGAGGGTTCAATCTCAGCATCCCATATAGCTCCCTGAGCACTGCCAGGAGTAATTCCTCAGTGCAGACCTGCGAGTAATTCCCGAGCATCACTGGGTGTGACCCTACCCCCTAAAAATAATCAACTATAATGTGCATTTAAAATATTTTTAAGGGAAAAAGAGGGGCTGGAGCGATGGCACAGCAGGTAGAGAGTTTGCCTTGCATGCGGCCAGTTGGGTTCGATTCCCAGCATCCCATATGGTCCCCTGAGCACTGCTAGGAGTAATTCCTGAGTGCATGAAGCAGGAGTAACCCCTGTGCATCGCCAGGTGTGACCCCAAAAAGCGATATATACACACACACACACATATATATATTTAAGAGAAAAGAAAAGAGAGTTTTGTGAAACATGAAAAAGATGTTTGAAAGATCAGCCTTACAGTGATGAAGCATGCTAGAAGAAATAGAAACATTTGCTTACTCAATGAAGTAGATCATCCCTGTGTCGGTATAGGCCATTTCCCAATTAGGGGGCAGTGGTTCCAGATTCTCATCTCTCATCATATAATTTCTAAAGTCCATGGAGCTGCTGGTTTGGTTGTAACTTGGGATCGTCTTCATCCAGTCAGATGGTTCGGAAAGCCTCTCTCTAGTTTCTGCTGTTCAAAATACAATAGCTTGAGGACGGGTAGAATGATGCTGTTCCCCTCACACAAGTTCCCTTCATTCTAACAACTTGCCAATAGCTGATTGCAAATCTCCTTCTCTCTTAAGTTCACTATCTGCTATCATTTTTGAAACAACAATTAGACATACTTGTTTTTTTTCCCATCTGCTTGGTAGCATTGATCCTGCACAACACTTTGGATGCTTGTCAGGAAAGAAGCAAAAATCCACAACATAATCAATTTAGTAAATCATGGTCACGGTCCTCCCGGCGTTCATCGATTTGCTTGAGCGGGCCCAGTAACATCTCCATCATGAGACTTGTTACTGTGTTTGGCATACTGAATACGTAACGGGTAGCTTGCCAGGCTTTGCCATGCAGGAGAGATACTCTCGGTAGCTTGCCGGGCTCTCCGAGAGGGGTGGAGGAATTGAACTCGTGTTGGCCATGTTGGCTGCTTGTAAGGCAAATGCCCTTCTGCTGTGCTATCGCTACTGAATATAATACCAACATCAACTGAGACAGATGCACTTACAGTTCTTTATGTGCCAAGGATTGTTTTAAGCATTTTACCTATATGAACTCTTTACCCTCATACCAAGTATATTATTTCAATATCATAGCTCCCATTGTGCAGATAAGGAAGCTAAGATACAATGATGTTAAATGTACTCAGTTAACAATACAAAGCTAATAAACAGCAAAGTCATGATTGGAATCTAAATGGCTCATGCTCTTAACTACTATGACCAAAAGAAATACACAATGTTTCTTTTTCAATTTGGAATTCGTTAACAACTATAATTATTGCTTTCTCAGAAAAGGCAGGATTCTTTTGACCATGTCTTCTAATATTTTTAAATAAAAATATTCTTCATATTTTATCTTACAGAGAAAATAGAATCCAACAAAAGTGTGCTAAGCTACTGAATGCAAGAAATAGAATACAAAATTGCCTCCCACACACTCTTGGATATATACTTAAATATTAACATCAAAGAGTATGTAACATCTGGTTTAACAACATTTTATGCATGACAAGCATAAACTATAGAGATTATACACAGAGTTACTTCTAAGGGAATTGCAGTCATCTCAAAAACTCTACATGAGTTTTTTTAAAAAAAATGGTAAAAAATTTTTCTTCAAATTAAAAACATGTAAATTCCCATATTAGGAAAGATTCGTGATCTCTAATCCCAATCTTCACCATTTAAAAATGTTAACAGACAACTCTGTAGAACAGCAAAGTTGACATAATGAAAAGGTTCTATGATAGGATGGTCTCTTTAATAGCTCTTAAAGAATTAGGTGTGATTGCACCTAAACCTTTCCATTTGGGCAAGGGGGAGGCAGAAGGCTGCATGCCTAGTAGTGATCAGGAGATCAGGTGGTGCGGAGGATCAAACCCGGGATTTCCACAAAGCACATGCTCCAGCTCACTGAGTGATCACTGCAGCCTTCACCTAATATACTTAGATCTGTTCTTGGTCTTATAACACCTCCAGGGCTTAGTCTTGACTCTGCACTCAGGGATCACTCCTGGCAGGGCTTAAGCGACTATCTATGGTGTGGTGGTGTGGAGATGGAACCCAAGTCAGCCACTGGCAGGGCAAGTAACTTACCCTGCACTATCTCCAGGCTTGTACGCAGTCTTTATACTCGAATACTTTGGGTCCTTTCATTTAACAATAGATGGATTATGTGTCATAACTATGCGAGATGTTAAGTTTATAAAACCAGACTTATACTCCAGAAAGGAAATATACACACTAAATGTACTGAAGCAGTTAATACAGGATGTATAGCAAATTTTAATAACTGATGAAGAAAACTATTAGGATGCTTTTAAAAGAACATGGTGTGACTACTATAAATATGAGGATATGCTCAAATTTCATTCATTTACTGATTACCAATAAAATATTATTTCACATTCTACTATAGTAGTGCAAGACACTGATTGAAATGCAAAGAATACAAGAATGAAAAAAACAAGCAAAGCTTCAGACCAAATGAAGCTCCTTTCTAGTGTTTTTAATGGAATTATTATAATAATTATGATAATGAAATTATAGTTAAAACAGAAATTAATTCTTCTATGACTTCTGAGTTCCTGACACTCAGAAACAGAAGTCCAGGAATCTCTTAAGGCATAACCACACCATTTAGGGGAACTCAAAAGGAGAAGATTCTCTACCACCAAACTGTTGGTTTTGAATTTAATGAAAAAATACAAGTTAAGTTTGAAAAGAAAATTTTTAGGATTTAAATTTAAAACATTGCTAAGAGGACAGAGTAGAGAGCACAAAGTGCTGAAGGGCATGAGGAAGGACCAGGTTCAGTCCTGAACACTCTATGATCTTCCCAAAAAACAGCAGCAGAGGGGCCGGTGTGATAGCACAGCAGTTAGGGCATTTGCCTTGAATGAGGCCGACTGAAGTTCAATCCTCTGCATCCCATACAGTCTCCCAAGCACCGGCAGGAGTATTCTTTAGTGCAGAGCCAGGAGTAACTCCTGAGCATCACTTGGTGTGACTCAAAAATAAAAATTAAAAAAAAAAATCAAAAACCCCACCAGTATGACTGACTGCTCCGACCACTGAGGAGCTCCTGAGCACCACCACGTATGGGCCCAAGCAAACTTTGCCCACAAATCTTTCAGAGAACCTTGACTTGAATATTTCCAACCCCATGTAATTAATTTTGGTCAAAGGCTGTATCTTGCAACATCTACATTTGGTTCACATTCTACAAAGTAGCATGTTAGCCAACAAAAGATTTCTGCATTTCAGCAACAGCGATAAATGCCAATCTTTCAAGTTCCAGATTCATGGCATAGGCATTACTATCAACAATAGTTTATTGCTGATTTGTCAAAACTGCCATTTGGGGCAGCTTACTTCAGATGATCAACAAGATGGCAACAGAGAAGACTTGGTTCCACAGACAGTCTTTTAAAGTCAGAGGTTGTAGAGATAATATAACAAGCAGGGCACTTGCCTTGCATGAGGCTGACCCAGGTCCAATTCCTGACACGCAGGAGGGACTTGGGGAGTGTAGCTGTCCCACCAGGAATGATCCCTGAGTACAGAACCAAGAGCAAGCCCTAAATACTACCAGGTGTGGTTCAAAAACAAAGACAAAAAATCAGAGGCTGGAGAGGTTAAGGTGCTTTCCTTGCAAGTGCTGATCCAGGGCAGTTCTCTGAGTGCTGCCAGGACCCCTGACCACAGAGCCAGCGGTCAGTCCTCAGCACAGCTGGGTATGGCCTAACAATTATGCTCCACACACACACACACACACACACACACACACACACACACACAATAAAATAAAAACTTAAAATTTAAATCTCATCACTTGTTCTGCATATACCTGTGAACATTTTTACTACTTCTAACTCAGTGTCATGTCAAAATTGACCTAAAAGGTTGGCCAAAGTCATTTATCATTTACTAACCTGCATTTCCACTACCATTAACAGCTTCCTTGTCCTCATCTTCTTCCTCTTCAGGAAGAGAACTGTCCATTCTTTCCATTTTGCTGACAGATGTAGTTCGTTTTCTTTGGGATTCAGTGTCAAACTCATTATCAAAGAGAACCTGGTCAACTGGGTCAGGCTGGAAAGGGCTGGGCTCTGCTGGAGGTTTGGGAGTCCCATAGAAGTTCCCTGCAGTGGGGAAAATAGTATATAATAAAGTACTAATGTTGAATCAAGAATCAGAACAACATTATTTCACTCAATATCTCTGCTTTGTTACCCGATACTTCGCTAAATACCCACCGGAGGCCAAAGCGATGCCAAAATCCTGCTGGGGAGAGGGCAGGTAAAAGAGCAAGGACTGTGTCTCAACCCCTTTGCTGACTGATTATGTAACATCTAACATTTGAATATGATTTGTGATTTGTACCAAGGCCAGGAAGTTATTTTACATATGTAGATTATTTATTCCTACAAGGCTTGCTATGCAGCAGTTCTAAATTCGGGTCTAATTTGTAAATTTAAATGCATCACTGCTCTCATGTTAAGACTAATTGGCATAAAAAGTGGGAGTAAAGGAAGAAAAATATGAACTCATAATTTTTCTCTGATGTGTAACTGATGTGTAATATAATGAACTATTTTGGTAAAATGAGGAAATATGTGGGCAAAGGATAGAGCTAAGAATGAAGTCTGTTGAAATGTAGGCTGTTTATATAAAAGCAATTTCTAAAAGTTTTCCTGAGCATTCTAATTATATTATTATATCTGACAATTTATTGAATAAAGACATTAGCATAATTCAATATTGACTTACTTTCAGGAAAGCAAGAAATACTTTAAAAGGTTAAATCTTGGGAAGCAGTAAATGTTCCAGAATAGAATGAAAACAACTGAATATCTTCTCAATTTGCAAGTCCCAGGAGGCAGACAAATACACTGATAAAGCATTCAATAGAGCTAGTTAAACTAATAACTTCTGGCCCCTGCTACTTCTTATCTTATTATCAATTACCATGCTAATGTTGTAGAAGGATAAATATGACTAGGGAATAAAATATTTATGATATTTTCCCCCTGTAAATCGCACCTTCTAATAAAATCCCTTGGTTCCTAATGAGGTAATTAAGATGCTCCTTCATTAAGAAGGTAACATTAACAGGGCATACAATGGATTATTTTTTCCAGATTTAAAAAGGAAAAAAAGAAGAAGCCCAGGTTTGGGCCAAGAGACAGCTCAATGGGCTGGGCACAAGCTTTGCATGGGGTTTGCTCCCTGGAACCACCTGGTCCCCCAGTGCCTCCAAAACAACCCCCAATCCACCCAAGAATAGTCCCTGAGCACTGCTGGGTGTGGCACAAAATCCAAAACAAAAACAAAAGCCACAGCATAGGTTGGTTCACTGAAGCAAGTCTACAAATAACAGAGTTACATAAAGCCATGTATGGTGTGGTGGGGGAGCATTAACACGAACAACTTGGCTATCTGGCTTTGAGCTGTCATTGACATTAAAATAATAAAGAGAACATAATTTAGTTAAACTAAAAAAACTTTCAACTACTCTTTTTGAGTGGAGGGAGGAACATCTGATGGTGCTCAATGCTCACTCTTCACTCTGTGCTCAGAGATTACTCCTAGTTGTGCTCATATGGGGTGTCAGGGACTGAACCCAGGTCAGCCGCACGCAAGGCAAGAGACATTATACTGTCTCTCCCTTCTCCTCAACTACATGTTGCCCCTACCCACGCCTTTGCTGACGATCCATGTCCGAAATGGAATTACTCCTGTTGTGCAAATGGATGCAAAGATTCATGTACAGACTGAAAAGATCTGAGCGAACTTTCTGGCTCAGAAATAAAGCAAGAAAACAAGGAAACGATCAGTTCACACTTGGGGGCTGGAGAAATAGCACAGCGAGTAGGGCATTTGCCTTGTACGCGGCTGACTTGGGTTCAATTCCTAGCATCCCATATGGTTCCCTGAGCACCGCCAGGAGTAATTCCTGAGTGCAGAGCCAGGAGTAATCCCTGTGCATTGCCAGGTGTGCCCAAAAATCAAATAAATAAACAAATAAATAAATAAATAATCAGTTCACACTTATCTGGAGCAGAGGACAAAGAAATGCTTTTGAATTTGGGAAGGTACATGCTTTAGGTTTCACTCCGTCCTGCAGCATGTTCAATAATCATTCTATGAGGAACCAGGACATACTGTGACAAAATGTAAAGGCAGGGATTTTGTGTTTATTTTTTTTTTTTTGAAGGATGGCAGCACTGTAGCACTGTCCTCCCATTGTTCATCGATTTGCTCGAGCGGGCCCAGTGATGTCTCAATTGTGAGACTTGTTACAGTGTTTGGCATACCAAATAAGTCACGGGTACCTTGCCAGGTTTTGCCGAATGGGCGAGATACTCTCAGTAGTTTGCTGGGTTCTCCAAGAGGGGCCGATGAATTGAACCTGGGTCAGCTGGGCCGGCCGCATGCTAGGCAAATGCCCTACTGCTGTGCTACTGCTCCAGCCCTTGAAAGATGGTAGTTTCACTAAAAACTCTAGAAACACATTTTACTGTTTACTTTCTTTGTTTTTTCTTTTTCTTTTTTCTTTTTTTTTTTTAGGGGGATGAGTGTGGTGGGCCCACAGTGGGCAGTATTCAGGGCTTACCACTGTGGGCTTTGTGCTCAGGGATCACTCCTGATGCTGCGCAGAGGGCCAGATGGGTTCTGGGGATTAAACCCAGGTTGGGCCCGTGCAAGGGAAGTACCGTAACTGCTGTGCTATCTCTCCAATCCCCTTACGCTGCAGTCTTAATCATCACCTACTATAGGGCCCTTATCTTTTTTTCTGGGGGATAGGGGGGAGATCAGAAGAATTCAGATTATTATAACTGTCGTCCTTAATCACCGATAAGATTCAGGAACTTTATAAACTGACGGTTTCCTTACTTAAAAAAAAATATGACTCTTCCATTAAAAATGACAGCTGAGCACTGTTTACAAGTAGATCTATTGTCCTTAAGTTTTTGGTAAGTACAAAGATTTTTACATACAACAGGGAATAAAGTGATAAAGTTTGTGAACCCAGATTATATTCATGAACAGAAAAAGGTTTTCATCCCTTGAAGCTGTTTGGAGGTTATGCTTTATTCCCTTTGTTTTCTTTATTTTTTCTCTTTTTTTTAATTAGTGAAACACAATGAGGTACAGTTGTTGACCTTACAAGTTTTTGTGCTTGGGTTTCAGTTATACAATGATTGAGTACCCATCCCTCCACCAGTGCTCATTCTCCACCCCCAATGATCCCAGTAACCCTCCCCCACCAATCCCCTCCATAACATCCAGTCTCTGTGGCAGGGCATTCCCTTTTGTTCTCTCTCCTTTTGGTTGCTGAGGTTTGCAAAAGAGGCATTGAGTGACAATGATGTTTGGTCTATAGCCTACATTCAACATGCATCTCCCATCCTGGGAAGGTCCCCCCAACACCCTTTACTTGGTGTTCCCTTCCCTGTCTGAGCTGCCCTTTCCCCTAGCATGTGCGGCTGGCCTTCAAACCATGGAGTGAAACTCCTGGTTCTTATTTTGACTATTCTTGGTTGTTAGTCTCCTATTTTGTTACTTTATGTTCCCCAGATGTCTGTCCCTCTCTTTCTGACTCATTTCACTTTTTAGCATGATACTTTCCATGTAGTATCACTTGTATGTAAATTTCATGACTTTGTCTTTTCTAACACTGCATAGTACTCCACTGTATGATGTACCAAAATTTCTTTAACCAGTCTTCTGTTCTCAGGCACTCGGTTTTTTTTCCCAGATTTTGGCTATTTTTAACAGTGCAGCAATGAACATAGAAGTGCAGATGTCATTTTGGTTATACTCTTTTGCCTCTCCAGGATATATTCCCAGGAGTGGTATTGCTGGATCAAATGGGAGCTCAATTTCTAATTTTTTGAGAATCATCTATACTGTTTTCCAAAAGGCTTAACCAGTTGGCATTCCCATCAGCAGTGAAGGAGAGTTCCTTTCTCGCCACATCTGCACCAACACTGGTTGCTTTTGTTCTTTTGGATGATATCTCTGTTGTTTTGATCTGCATCTCCCTGATGCAGATCAGGGAGCATTTTCTCAGGTGCCTTTTATCCATTCGAATTTCTTCTCTGAGAAAGTTTCTGTTCATTTCATCACCCCATTTTTTGATGGGGTTGGAAGTTTTCTTCTTGTGGAGTTCAACCAGTGCTTGATATCCTTGATATCCTTGATATCAACGCCTTATCGGATGGGTACTGGGTGAATATCCTTTCCTATTCTGTAGATTGTCTTTATATTCTGGTCACTATATCTTTTGAGGTGCATTAGCTTCTAAATTTAAGATAGTCCCAATTGTTTATCTCTGTTTTCACTTGGCTGGGCAGTGGAGTGTTGTCTTTGAAGATACCGTTAGCCTCAATATCGTGGAGGGTTTTACCGATCTTGTCTTTGATATATCTTATGGATTTTGGCCTGATGTTGACATCTTTAATCCATTTTGATCTGACTTTTGTGCATGGTGTTAGGTCGAGGTCTAAGCCCATTTTTTTGCATATGGTTGTCCAGTTATGCCAGCACCATTTGTTGAAGAGGCTTTCCTTGCTCCACTTCACATTTCTTGCTCCTTTATCAAAGATTAGATGTTCATACATTTGGGGTTGTGTGTACAGATATTCCACCCTGTTCCATAGGTCTGCGGACCTGCCTTTGTTCCAGTACCATGGTGTTATAATTATTACCGCTTTGTAGAAGAGTTTGAGGTTAGGGAAGGTAATGCCTCCTCACATCTTTTTCCCAAGAATTGCTTTAGCTATTCGTGGACGTTTGTTGTTCTATATGAATTTCAGGAGTGCTTGATCTATTTCTTTAAAGAATTTCATGGGTATCCTTATAGGGATCATATTGAATCTATATAATACTTTGGGGAGTATTGCCATTTTGACAATGTTAATTCTTCCTATCCATGAGCAGGGGCATGTTTCCATTTCCTCGTGTCCTCTTTTATTTCATGGAGTAGGGTTTTGTAGTTTTCACTGTAGAGGTCCTTTACCTCTTTAGTTAGGCTGATTCTGAGGTATTTGATTTTTGGGGGCATGATGTGAACAGGATTGTTTTTTTCCTGTCACTTTCTTCTGTCTCATTATTTGTGTATAGGAAGGCCATGGGT